TTCTTGGGGTTTAAAAAGGAAAACCTCTTTAGCTGCTTGCCTCCTCCACAGAAGCGGAAGCATACCATTATCAATAACAATTTCTGAAGATGATAATGGTTGCATTCGTATAGCTCAGAATTCCCACACACCGTAAAAGAACCAAACATATTGATATTATAAAGTATCACTTTACACGTGATCAATTATAACAAAATATTATTACTTTATAATAAAAACAATAAAAATCATTTAACTCAGGAAACATTTTTCCCAGTGTGGCTTTTCATCCGAAATTTTGATATTATCGAATTTAGAAATATAATTTTTTTGAAAAAGGTGACTGGCTAACGCTGTTTGTTTTTTCTTTTTTCTCTTATGCCTCACACAACATAATTTTTTATGTTCATTAGCCCTTCAACCTTGAAAGTTGCAGAGGCGCTCAGATTCACCGTCCCACGCTTGGAACACCTTATTTTCTGCCCTGATGATTTGCCACTAACCGAAACGAAAGCACATGACCTTTGACAATAGTGAGATAGTTCACTAACTGTTCAAAGGGCATTCGGTAAATAATTTTTTTAAACCTTTTCATTTAACATCCAAATTCCTAAAAAATCTTAGAGCTAACTGAATAATAGAATCCTAATCTAGGGATTTACAAATTTTTTTTTTAGGCCAGATTCCTATCTACAACAAGCCAAAAGTCTTCCGCTAATATTCCTATAATTTATTCATTAATTATAGATAATATGGAATGAATAGCATACCTACGATTTTGGCAATAAAATGAAATAATGGTCGCCATTGAATCAAATCAGGAAGCAACCCATGCTAAGCCGTTGTGGCCCTCAAAAGCCCGACTAATTTTCGCAAAATATTAAGTATCTCATTAGCACTTAAGCCCGCGTGGCTCTAGCAACTCTTTTTCCCAATTACGGTATATACGAAATCATGCCCCGGAACGGTATTCCAGAAATCGGGAAACGTCTCACGTACTCTAACTCTGTTGAGACTAGCACGGCGTAAAGAGGGACAAAATGAGATATTTTATGGTCAAAATCCTACAAAGACAAAAGCAACCGACTACTGGTAATAAGGGACCTGAAGTATGATTAATGACGGTAACATTCTGCCTTTTTAACACTCATTTTATCGTCAGGCATTTTAAAAGGGTGTTTCAAAAATATCAGTATAAATTGGTATTTTATTGTAGAAAAAGTCAAAATTTAAATCTAATAAAACTTATTGCTGCTTTTGAAGTCCGTTAAATGCAATTTAAGAAAATTTACCTATAATTTTTACTGCAATTTTTTATGCCAGTTAGCCCATTTAGCGCATAATTCAACTTTATTTTGAAATCCTAGCAAATGTCATTAGGTCCCAGCAACATTTCCCTCAAAATAATCCAAAACTTGTTTAAATAGTAACTTTCCAATTACAATAATACTTTAAAGTGTATATGCTTTTCCTATTCATTATTGTAATCTTCTTTAAGCTAAAAATCCCTTCTAGCCTTCAGTTCCCTTCTGATTACACGCATCGCAGGCTAGGAAGCACATTTCTGCGATCGATATAAGGTAAACGAAGTATTTATCTATCTTTCATTATTGTAAAGTCTCCAATAGAAAAAATTTGGTGCTAAAATGAAGTATATCTATTATATTCAGCATTAAGCAATGGCGCAAAACTGTTGACAGAGAAAAACAATATGCATTGTGGTAAATAAACTGAAAATATGTGAATTATATTGCAAACTAACAATGACCGTTTTGTTTCCTCGTGAACATATTATTATTGTCTTGCTTATGTACCATTTATTTTAGTATAAAAGACGTAGGCAAATAGGGTTAATCATTCATTCACTTGCGAGCTAACATCGCAGTAAATAGATAGAAAAGTTTTCATTTGTAATACTTAGTTTTTTAAAATAAATTGCTTTTTAAAAACAAAGTTTACTGAAGTGGAAACTTTATTGGCGCAGTCGGTAGAATCCTCAAAGTGCTAGGTTTTGAGAACCTGAAAAAATAATATTTTCGAAAAAACATAGTTGGCGAATGTACCGAAAACGTGTTCGTTCGTGAATTACTATCAGAAAGAGAACTCTTAGAACATTCAGCCCATCCACTTCACATATTTATATGGCAAACTGAGGATAAGAAGGATTAAAACTAACGTGCTAAGGGAGTGTTATTGTTACAAAGCATTTTCTGTCTGTAAGTAAACCTTCCTAACGTTTTTTAATTTTGTTGATTCGTAATTAAGTCCTTGCGCTATTGATTTGCTGAGGTATTTTATACTGTGATTTCAACACGAATTGGCTGGAAACAAGAATGAACTACAGAAAATAAATTAAAGAAAATTTTATTTTCATTTCTATTTTATTTTACTACAAACTCATCAACATACAAACAAATCCAAACTACGGACAAAAATTTCCTAGAGCTCTTTCTTTCCAGACACCTACTTTTTTAGGATGCAAAGGGATTCCAAGTGAAGCATGAAATTCATCTTGCACTAATTTGTTTCCAGACACCTATTTTTTCAGGAGGCAAAGGGATTCCAAGTGAAGCATGAGGATTTTCGGTGCTCCATATCCTCACCTGCTGGGAGTTTATGTAGCCAGTTTTGCAAAACCATGCTTCATCGGTGGAAAAATGTGGATTATCTTACATGGTGTCCGTGAACCATTGACGATAAAGAGTCTGCAGGAGAAGATCCGGGGGTTTCAACTTTGCTCTGGCATCATCCTTTAGGCATGAAGGTCTAGATTTTTTTTCCAAATATTATGACATGTCCCCAAGGATAGTCCGACTTTTGAGGGAGATGGCGAACTGATGTTTTTTGTTGATTTTCCTCCCTAACTCGCTCAATGTTCTCGCGATGACAATATCAGCCCAAAACTTGTAGGTTCTGAAAAAACTGTTTTTATCCGAGAAAATAATTTTCCCAAAAAACAATGACAGTTGCGAAACTTGAAGAAGCACTCCTAATTCTGGAAAACAAATGTCTCGAAGAGAAGAAGAGATTCCAAAATCCTCGAAATGCACAGGAGTAGAACACTATGTCGCCTTATGTTTGGAATATCTTCATCCGAAACTGACAGAAAAACGCCTAAAGCCATTTCCTGTATACTGGTTGGCTAAAGGCCCATCTGATACTCTGCTATCTGTCGTTTAATCCTAACATGTTTTTTCCAACGACAAACTCACTGTTTTTGTAAAATACAGAGAATCTTTATTGATCAGTCTTTTTCCGTCCTATTCAAAAATATTTTTTGTGTGTATCAATAAAGCTGGGTTTCATTGCCATCATCTAGTACAAACTTTCATCAGTTTCAGTTTTTGACTCGTTGAAACTTGTTAGATGTTGATTTTTCTCATTCTTGAATGCTATCCACTTCATATAGTGGTAAACAACTATTAGGACGCGTAAAGACCGAATTTCCAACGCTAGCCAACGGCACATGTGAACTATGTTGGAACGCGTTGGCTTTGGTGTGTACAGCCGGCAGTGTGGACGATGTTCTCAAATCCTTTCCACTGCTTTTCAATTCCAACGCCAACGACAGCACATGTGCGGTTGGCGTTGGTCTACGTTGGAAATTCGGTCTGTACGCGGCTTAAGAACGATTGCTTATGCAGCTTAGATTTTTCATTGAATTATATGCCAAAATTGTGTCGTTCTATTGATCTGCAACTCCTTTTCCTGTATCATGAGACCAATTTCTGAGTGTATTCTGTTTTGCTTGGGTTGGATGGTATAGGTTCAATCTGGTATTTTTGCAGCTCTTGTAACGTATTGAGACAATAGCAATTCACCATTTTTTGTCAATTTAAGTATCTTTTTGTGTATAAATCTAGGAAAAATTCAGATTGAACAGATAGGAGAAAATTTAAACGAAAAAAAATAAATATATATATATATATATATATATATATATATATATATATATATATATATATATATATATATATAAATATCTTCGAATTTCTTGCATTTGCCTTTAGGCGAAAAATTGGATTGGTTTTCTTCGCTTTTCCTAGCCATACTGATGAGACCTGATATAGGTCGAAACGCGTCTATGGATGGAAAAGCGGAGAAAATTAATCCAAAAACTTTTCTTATATATATATATATATATATAGTTAGAGGGTAGTCTTGGCTGACTAGTTAACGAAACAAAGTTATTAATTTCTTGGGGTATCAGCCTATTTCTTCGGGACTAGTTCAATAAAAAACTCTTTTCTGCTACGCCAAGCTTTCGAAAATGTTTATTTTCTTTCTCAAGGCTACAATTTGAAAATAAAATGTTAGATAATAATAGGCAATACTGAATTAAGGGAATATTTACCCTGTGTGCAAAGTGAGTCAATCACATAATGGACTTTTGACTACCTTTGCCAACATTGGAGACATCCTTCCACTTATTGGTCACAATAAATATATGTTAAGTTGTTCAAACAAACACAACATTAATTAGAATTATAAAATATTAGAGAGATTACATTCTTAATTCTATTTTATTTCGGGACGTTTCTTCCCTTTCACGTGCGAAACAAAATGGAGAGCACCTAAGACAAAAATTCAAAAAACCTATTTCCTGTTACCATGAGGAATGTCATATTCGGCTATGCCACCTGTCGGAATAACATTGAAAGGTTACTGTTGTACCTATTGTTGCTAAATTATTATAGCTTTTCATTGATAGATGGCGTATCGATTGTTGTTAATAAAGTGTTGAAATTTGCTCGAAGATGGAGTGGGTGTCCCAATTGAATGATCAGTGCATTTTGGCGACTGTTCCAACATTGATAGTCCAAAGTATAAAACACATCATAAATCAACATAATTAAGTGTCACCTCCAGCAGATCCCACTTCTGCTGGGGGTGAAACTCAAGGTGTAGATTCCAGTCTCCACATCCGGAAACCCACCACATCTGTCACATGAGAGCAAGATCCATCGTGAAAGACTTTTTGGCTGAAAAATTGTAATATATGAACAATGATGAATGAAAAAATGACTGTTAATCTCCAGAGAACCCAACTCTGTCCTCAGTCTTCACTTCTGGGCCAGTTTAAGTGTATTTCTAGAATTAAACACTACCTCCAGCAGATCCCACTTCTGCTGGGGGCAATATTCAAGGTGTATCTGTTAGTCTATGCGTCCGAAAACCGTCCCATCTGTCACTTGAGTACAGAGTTCGTCCACCTAGACCCTTTTGCTAACTCAGAAGGAGGTAACACAAGGACCACAACAACCTATAAAACACCCATCATAATACCAAATATCAAAACAAACCAACACTCGATATCCTCCCTCGTACAACACGTCTCCAACAAGTAGCATAGTCGAAAACAACCAACCTATTCTGCCAAAGAATCATTATTGTCTGTACCCTTACCCAACGTCAGCAAGTGCGAATAAATAGCCCTTGTTTCATCGACATCATTCTTTTTGTTAAGAGAATTAAGATTTTGGCAAGTTTCCACCATCTCGAGGAAAAGCCTCTTTTTAGTGTGACTTTCAGAACACACCACCTTGGTTTGGTTATAGTTAGGAATGTGCCCTGTATCGATGTGATGTTCAGCCAATGCACAAGAACGTTTTTCCAGTCTACAATCACTTTTGTGACTCGTAATTCTATCCTTCAGGACTCTAGATGTCTGTCCTATGTAAGATTTGTCACATGAGGAACAAGGAATACTATATACTACCCCTGATTTTTTAAGAGGAGGGTCCTTGTCTTTAAGTTTGGTATATAAACTACCCACTGTCTTGGAATAACTTTGAACCACTTTCACTGCTGTTATGTCATTGAAAACTTTGATTATTTTATTGGTTACTTGTGGTATTGATGCGATGGAAAATCTGTAAACTGTTTCCTCTTGCTCGTTTGCAGTGCCAACCTCAGTATCGACTCTCTCTCTCCGACCCGTCACAGCAGCTAGCTGAGTCCTAGTATTATACAATAGTTTTTTTAACAAGTGATTTGGAAATGCGTTAGCAAGAAGCATGTTATGGAGACGTTTTATGTTTTTTTCCCTAAGTGAGGGATGGCAAATTTTCTCTATTCTCGACTTCAACGCCAGAACCAAGTTAATTTTCATTTTCTCTGTATGATGAGAATGATAGTTCATATATCTACCAGAGGCTGTTGGTTTGACGTACCAATCCAGGATGATATTATTATCATCTGTTCTTATTAGTTTAGTGTCCAAAAAAGGTACACTGCGTTCTTGTTCTTCCTCTATGGTAAATTGAATGTTGGTATCATAGCTGTTGAAAATTCTGAGAATTTCTTCTGTACCATTTTGTGGTAATGCTAAGATTAAGTCATCCACATACTTCTTGACAAAGGGCAATTGAAAAGTGAGTCTAGGAATACAATGATCCAATAAATCATCCATGACATACTGAGCAACAATCGGAGAGAGGTTCGCTCCCATTGGTGTACCGAAAACCTGTTTGTAGTAGGCACCATTAAACTGGCAATAAGTAGAGTCCAGAATAAACTTGATTATATCCAAGAACAGTTGTTGAGGTATTTTTGTCCTTCTCGAAATGACTGGCCATCGTTTTTCAACGCTGCCCAAAATTAGTTGTCGAGGAATGTTACTGAAAAGCGATACTACGTCCAGACTAGCTATTACATAATTAGGTGGAAGCTGTTTACCATTAATGAATTCTGCGAACTCAAAAGAGTCCCTTATATAGTATTCATTGTCCCTCGAGTACGCATTGGTAAGGATATCGGTTACCAGAATTGACAATTTGCTATTGGGTGCATTGATTGAAGAGATTATTGGTCTGAAAGAAAGTGTTGGTTTATGGATTTTTGGAAGCCCGTAAAATTTTGGAGATGTTTGATTGTAAATTGTTAATGACTTGGTAACTTCCTCATCCACAAACTTACCCTTTTTCAACTGAGTTGCCAATTTATTCGCCCTTTGCTGAAATGCTGATGTAGGATCCGTTCTAAGCTTTAAGTAATATTTGTTGTCATTAAGAATTTCTGTACATTTAGAGAAGTATGTTTCTTTAAGTATGATTACAGTTACATTTCCTTTATCTGCCCTAGTCACGAAGAGATCGGGGTGCCCCTTTAGAAAATTCTTAGTTTTATTGAACAAGTGATCCAGAAAAGTGTTACTGACTGTTTTTTTATAGAAATTAGTCAAAATATTTGTTATTTTTCCTCTATAAACATTTTTCTGTTCACTGGGGACCATATTTATCATATTTTCTATGCTGGCCAACAATGTTTTAACTGGTAAGTCCCTATTGGTTGGGGGTAAGGCAAATTTATACCCCAACGCCAAAAAATTCTCTATGTCTTTAGGCAGATTGATATTGGTGAGATTTCTGACCCAACCATTTTTAGTTTTGATCATGTTGTTGTTGGCAATCGTTTTTAATTGATGAATCTTCCTTGTATTTGTGTTTTTTATTGTGTTGAACTTCCTTTCGTAAGGTGTTTGTTGTTTACTTATGAAGGTGTCAACCATTGCTGAAGGCAAAATATTACATAATTCATCATATAGCTGTGTCTGAAATCTCTCCGAAAGCTTGGCGTAGCAGAAAAGAGTTTTTTATTGAACTAGTCCCGAAGAAATAGGCTGATACCCCAAGAAATTAATAACTATATATATATATATATATATATATATATATATATATATATATATATATATATATATATATATATATATATATATATATATATATATATATATATATATTATATATATATATATATATATATATATATATATATATATATATATATATATATATATATATATATTATATATATATATATATATATATATATATATATATATATATATATATGGCTGATTCCCCAAGAAATTAATAACTTTGTTTCGTTAACTAGTCAGCCAAGACTACCCTCTAACTATATATATATATATATATATATATATATATATATATATATATATATATATATATATATATATATATATATATATATATATATATATATATATATATATATATATATATATATATATATATATATATATATATATATACTTTCCTTTGCAAATTGCCACAACAATCAGTGTCAAATTTTGAAATCATGAATGGGTACATTACGAAATGCATGTTGTTGAAAACTCAATTTAGAAATTATCTTTCTTGCAACAAATTTTGTATTAATCTCTGTCATGAACTGCGTCTAATGCCTCTGAAGTTTAAGATATATTATTTCCCCGCCGCAGATGTTAAAGGCCTATTTTACCTCGATGGGTACATAAATAGCTATTGGAGAAAATCTATGGAGTTTTACTTGTTCAGGAAGTTCTTTCTATACCGGTTTAGTAAATCGATGCACAATAGCTATTTATGTAACCAGCAGCCAGCAGCCCGAGAGAGCCGTTTTTTGTGGAATGAGTGAATTTCTACGAAACTACACAAATCGGAATTTTCTATAACGTGTTGCATGCAAGATTTCTTCTAGTTTTGATTCATGTAATTGTCAAGGAGAGCCTCGTGATAATTCCAAGGAGAAGTTTTTATTTATTCCGGATGCTGTCTGTTATCCCAGAAGTTTACTAGCCCAAACTAACCCAAAATATTACAAATGCGAAAGCTCTATGGAATTTGTGAATCTGTTGTCGTAAAGTTAGTTTTTATGTTTTTTTTTTATTTGATGTTCGATATTTTTGGCATTTTTATCCAAAAATTGTACAAGTTTTGTAACCAGTTACGAATAGTTAAATTTTTCGTAGCTGGTGATAAAAAATTGATCGTTGTGACATGTGACACTATAACGAGTTATGAAAATTTCCACTTTATGTGCTAAAATTGGAGAAAATCTTTCATTTGATGGATATGCATGTAAAAATCGCGCAGTCTCAATTTATGGTTGTCTTTTCAAATACAAAGTTTTGAAATCAGTAAACAAAATAATGTACAAGGTGTTTCATTCGGAGAACAATGACCTGTCAAAAATTCAACAATGGCAGGAATATTTTCACAATTTTTAAAAATAAATTCTTATGATTAAAAATTATGTTTACATTTCGGATATAACATATGTTTCTCAAAAGTTCAATTTGTGTAAGGTGTGAAAATATACGGCAAAACCCAGTATGTAGTTGACGTTTACCCAATGTCATTATTAAACACTATTTCGCAAGTGATATTTGTTCAGTATATTTCCCCCTTTGTCCCAATAATAAATCTCATGTTGAACTAACTTGTATGAGGCATTTTGCGGACGTGAAATACCCCGACATTTCCCCATCAATAATTAACCGCGTATTACACAATGGAACCAAATAAGGTAACTTTATACGCTGCTGCGTTAACTGAACCCAGGCTGAGCACATTGCACACCCTATACAGTAATAAATCCTCGCTGTAACCAATATACCGAGCTAATTAATCATTGTTACCCCTCTAAGCTTAAAATCTTACCTTAAACCCCCTTAGGTTATCCACGACGCAGGCCAGCAAAGCGTCTCTGCCTACGGTCACTGTTACATTGGGAATTGGCTCGGTGAATCGGGGCAAAGCATCTGCAACAATAGTTCAATATAGATAAATTTTCCACCAATTTAACTTTCAAACAATAGCTGAAATATTGCTATGTTAACAACAAATTTAATGTGGCATTAATAAATACAACTAAGCATATTTCTGAAGAGGTGACCATTAAAATAATCATTTTGATATAGACACACTGATAAGTTTCCGCATAAATTGTGCTTTTTTTTCTGACATCCTATTTTTTCTACTTAACTTTTCATACAAAACTAGAGAAAAAAATGTATTTTTTCAAATTGATTTTTAACTGTTCCTGCAAACTTTGGACTTTCGAAAAAATGTATTCGATTAAGAAGTTAATTATCCTATAAAAACACTAAAAATAAATACCTAAATATCCTAAATATAATATAAAATAAGGGAAAAAAAAAATAAAAAAATTGGTGACATCTATTTTTGTGCTGGTAATACTTTAAATAGACACTGCAATTTATCTGGCTCCCCTCATCCTGCCTAGAAAGCTACCCTTTTTATATCGCCCCCACGAACCAAAAATTCTCATCCGCATACTATCAGGCTAAAGGCCATCTTTCTTTACTATAAAATATAAGCCCTGTCCAAAATGTTTCCCCAATTTGCGACTTACCTATTTATTTCGTCGTTTCTAACGAGAAAATATCTGCTGAATTTATACTCAGCCATATTTGTTTACTTAATTGAACGTTAGTTCTCAGACGGCATAAAATTGTCCATTGGATCTAATGTTCTGTCATGGATTAGGTAGTCGTCCAAAAATGGCCTCTTAATGGAGATGAATGTTTGGTGGATTTTAGAAATGTCAGATTTTTCGATGATGTAGGCCGTACGCTCTTACATTAAATTTGGACATAAAGTGTACCTAATATGTCCAATTTACGTCCACTGTTAATTTTTTAACGATTTTCAGTAGTTCAGAGAAATTATACAATAATTTTGTATTGAATATGGGTATGAAGGTTCCATATATATTTAATACAGCAATGAATATATTCAGAAATCTAATGTGGACGTCCACCATACCAATTCTTGATGATTCTCAGAACATAAACTTTCGGCTCAAATATGTATTCAAGGCGAATATTTTTTGAAATAACAAATCCATTTTTGCGTAAAAAGGTAGGTAGGTAGGTACATTCTATGTAAGCTTTGGCTATCTATAAGATTCAAAATTCATATAAATTATCTAGGTACAGAAATTCTCGACTAAAAACTTTGTGACGTGCCAAACATGCCTTACGTACATTTTCTGTGAATTATCTGTCTGAATTTTCTATCATTTTCATTCCTATCGAATATTGTCAGTGAATAATTTTGTTTCTTTTATATCAGTTGGTTAACCACGGCATCATACGGTACACGTCTCTGTGAGCTAAATCAGAGTAAAATGGTAAAAATCGAAAATCAGCTTACAGTTCTCTGAGTCAGGTAGCACCGTACCACGCAAGTTGCATTCAACGAACAGAGATGGCGCTACGCGGTTCCACCAAATTATCATTTATTTAATTCAATTCCTTTATAGATGGATAATTTTTACTTATATTTCCATTAATTATTATCTATTTCCTCCATCGTGTATTTATCAATTTGTCTTCTCGATTATTTTTGTGGAATATTTTGGCATGTTCTAATTTCTTCTAAATAGGTGTCGCTACTCCTGTATTCCTGGTACAGTGATTCAATAAACCTTTTCCACAGTGGTGACAATTTGAAAGTCCTATTCATATTTAAAATGAGGAGACGTGGCTTACTTAGACTTCTATTTAAAATTTAAAAGAATATGGCGGCGGGACCTCTATAGTCGCCACTATGTGAAAAGGTTGTTTTTTCTATATTTAGTATTAAATACTTATATAATATATATATATATATATATATATATATATATATATATATATATATATATATATATATATATATATATATTGATCATTTATTAATGCTATAAGCAGAATAATATTTATATTTTTACCAATATTTTGTACGCCAAAGTGATCGCAGAGGTATAAAGGGTAAATTACCGATTGTATAAGTGTGTGAGTTGAAATTACATAATAATAATAAGTGAAACCAGGTGCGGCCCAAACGATAGGTAATCTTTGGTTGGTTTTGATTGGTTAACTGGTACTTCAACTCAATTAATGCTTTCAGGAACTGTCATTCTCTATTAATGTTTTAATTATTCACTCGTAATTAAATATGGAATTAATTTGTATGTTATTTTATTTCATTTAAGGTTCAAATGTAGACTTTTAAACTTATTGAATCTTTAAAACTTTCATCAAACCATTTTCCTCTTTAGGTTGTATCAAATTATTTAGCTCATTGAATTTTTAAGTAAATTTTATTATTTTTAATGAATCAACTTATTAAATTCTGTAATTTAATTAAATAACTTTAGCTCTCGAATTTCATGACTTCTATCTGGTTCCACAGCTTTTCTCTGATTAACTCATACAGCAAATTTTATTTATGAATTTGAAGTTGTTTGGTCTCTAGGAACCAGATAAGAACCTGAAAGATCTGACCATTCTGTCCAAATATCAGTGACGCTCAAAAATAAGCCATCCCTCCCTGCGAATTGAGCTGGAGCCGAATATGCAACGCACTTTGACCCCTGAACCTCCAATCTTCGTTTCTAAAATATTTTTAAGCTTTTCTTTGCGTATTTCAGTATTTCTGTAGAATACAAACATTTTTATTTCGAATGCAACAGAACACCCAAATGTCAAGAGTGTGAAATGCCGCGTCCAGATTAGTAAATAAATGTGTTGCGTTGAGTTCGGGATTCGTCACAAATTTTTGCGGCGCAAATTTGAACCACATAAATATTTGTGTTGTGCGCCGTGCGTTCTTGCTCAAACCGTGTGTGGCGGTGGTGTGTGGCTTTCCTAAGCTTTGTATCCATTCTGGCAATTCTGGGCCCAATCGCGTATCAAAAATTTAAAATGATTTGGAGACATGCGCAATTTTTTTTTTAAATGCCCTGTACTTTCATCCATAGATAGAATATTCAATAAAGTGGTACCATCTGAGTGTTTCTTATGCTGATACAGATACTTAATCCAATAGCACCTGGTCTTGTTTCTTATTTTCTCTTTCTTTTTCTTAATAAGAAGGCACATAACTATGAAAGCATTTTTTTTTGCAATATTATGAATCCATCAGAAGACATAATCACAGATTTTAAATTTGTCAAAATCGATGCGTTCGCCAGAAAATACGTCCACACTAGAACGATGTTGCGCCGCAATTCCCTTTGATGACCGACAACCTTCGGATCGCGTGCGGTGAATGCCGCGAACATTTTTGCGTGCATTCGTATGCGGCGAACAGGTCCACACTCGCATAAATTTGTATCGCACACACAAATTTGTGCCGAATGCCACATATAACGTAAATTTTTACTAATGTGGACGCGGCTTTAGAGATGTGGTAAACCAACCTTCGAAAATTCCAAAACCTCAGGGCCTATGTTCTTATTAGTGTTGGTGATTTGGAAGTTGGAACTTGGAAATTATTATAACAATTAGTATCTAATCATTAGTCATAATCAGAAATAATCCGGCCGGCAGAATACATAATCAACAGTTTAATTGGTGAGTAGTATACTTATCATAAAATCCTGAATCGTTGTTTAGTATTTTTGTATAGCAACATACCTAGCCAAAGAAAAAATAGTCTGGAGCTGGGTTTTATATTATCTAAACCAAACAGTCAACAAAATTTGGAAATATGTGGTTTTTGTTTATGAAACGCTCAGTGTGAAAATACAATAGGTGTTGCCAGACTTCGATTTCTTCAGTACAATAAATTTGTTATTGTGAATGCAATCCACCGTTTCTCGCCCTTTTAGGTAAAAACTTGGAATGACAGTTGAATACATCTATTAATCTTGGAGGTCTTCCTGGTGTGCTATGATAGCAACATCCATAAGTAAACCAGAGTTTAAAAAATGTTTTTTGAAACCTAGGGGCTAAGTCAACAAGTATAGTATCAAATGGTTGATAATTATATTATAGGTAGGTAATGCTTATAAAATTACGTGCTCAAACATTGGGATTTTTAATAAATCGCCTAGTTATTATCGCTTCAATCGATTGCTTATTTAGTTTTGGAGAATGGAGAAAACTTTACCACATCTAAAGGTATAACGTACTTATTTGGCAATTGCCTCATTATACTGCATACGGCTAGTCATCATCAGTTCGGAGGCCATGGGATTATGGATTCCTTGTATACATCTTACCTTTGGGCGCCACCAAGTTAATTGTGACTTAACTAGGAAGATTTCTTAATGATGTCATAAACAAAACTTGTGCAATTGGAGAGCTTAGCAATAAAACAACTAATTAGGTACAATAATGTATCTGGCTTTCTTTATTACAATATTAAATAGGGATAGCCAGGAGGTTATTAAAAATGTGCATAGATTAAGGCTTGTACCAATTTATAAATATTTGATTATAAAAAAAAAATATGAATGTAAATAATGCATATACATTTTAAGTGATACCACTATTGCTATATCCGAAACGGTAAGAGCTGCAAGGTCGGTTAAATTAGAAAAAAGTTGCCTTTTATGCTGCCCATTCCAGAATTGTTTACAGTGTTGCCAAATTCTTCTCAGTTTATGAAATACAGGGTGATTTCCAAGAAACGAGCGAAATTATTTCATCAATTATTTCGAAAACTATTGATATTGGAGACACAATTCAAATTTGAAAGTCTTGTAATTTTTTTCGCTCTACAACATGGCATCTTCCAATTTTGAATTCGACGTTTCGTCATCGAGATACCATCATCAGCTTCATTTTTTTAAATACGGACCTGGATTGTTTATGTCATTTTTAGAAAGTGCCCTTTATTCCCTTTCTAAAAATGACATAAAAAATCCAGGTCCGTATTTAAAAAAATTAAGTTGATGATGGTAGCTCGATCGCGAAACGTCGGATTCAAAACTCGAAGATGCCATATTGTAGAGCAAAAAAAATTA